AGATATGCAGTGTGGCTAAGTTTATTGATGCAGGCATCTTAAAGTTTATATTTCCCATTATTTTTGTAATATTAATTGAGCAACCTTGATGATGCATTAATAAAGCAGGGAAGATAGACTAGCTCTGGGACCTTTCCCTTCAGTTGTATAGCGGAAGAATCAACTGCAAGTATTACCCCAGCATGGAGTAATCATAGACCTGATTCATTTCTTACTCTTCTGATGTTCCCTGGGCCTCTCACTCCCACTGTAGTTAATGGGAAATTTGCCATGGTTAGTAGCAGCAAGACCGGGCTCCCAATGTGAGTGAAATGCCTTTCTGTACTACTTTCCTTTCAGTTGTGCTTCTGCCTCTTAATAACTGCTAGGGAATAAGATGAACAAAAACTCAAATTGGGTGGAATGGTGGGAGCAGGCTGAGTTTATCCAATACTTGTATGTTAGCATCCTGAATATTACCAACTCCAAGCATTCAAAAATCATAAATCAGCTTCCAAAAAATGCTGAGATTTCTTAAAAAGTGTAAGTGTGTGTGTGTGTGTGTGTCTGGAGTTCCTTTGTATTTGCCTTCTGGGTTTTGAGCCTTTAGGGTTTGTGTTTCAGCTTTTCTCCCCACCCTAGGAGCTAGAAACGTTTATAAAAAGATGAATCTGAGATTCTCATGGAATTACATGACTCCAGGAGCTGAGGCTTTAAGAAACTATCATGAGACTCGTGCCAAAATTTGCAAGAACATAGGCCCCGCAGGCCTGTGCAAATACATGTAAAGACAGTGACCCTGCCCAGGAGATCTTACAACTGAAGTAATAACAAGACTTGTGTAATGCGATCTGGTCTCTCCGCCACAGATGCAGATTTTAATTTTCCGAGGCAACTGGCAGGTTTGTCTTTATACCCCATCAGGTTTTAATGCCTCATTCACACTATGGTTGAAACTATGCAAGCAGTAATTGTGTTTGAACTGGGTTATTGCTAGCACCATTTCCTTGATAAATTGATAGGGATTTTTTTCTTTGCTGTTTCTCCCAGGCCCCTTGCATCCAGGCCCTTCCCTTTTCTGTTCTCTACAGCCAATATTGCCATCTGTCTCTCCTTTCTCAGGGACCCTTCTGAGAGCATTCTTTGTCCCTGGGGGAATTTTTCAGTCCAGGCCTAAGTTGGTCAATGATCTAACATGTTTTCTTTTCCATGTACAATGCTTAAATCTGCCAGGTGCTTTCTTTATCCCCTACCTCATCTTCCTCTTCACCTGTGGGATCCCAGTGTTCTTCCTGGAGACAGCGCTAGGGCAGTACACCAGCCAGGGAGGGATCACTGCCTGGCGGAAGCTCTGCCCTCTCTTTGAAGGTGAGTAGACCTCAGAGCGCAACCCTCTTTTGGAGGGGGGATGAGGGGAAATGTAGTGCAAGGGTCAGGAACTACAGCTGGAACGTCTATCCCTCTTAAAAGAGACCCTCCCACTATACCCATGCTGTTCTCTGAGAAATTCTCTGAAAGTGGCTGTGGTGTTACCATGAAGAATTGTGTTTACCCTCTCAGATCAGTTCACGATGTAACTCATCTGGTATTCTGCTGCCTCTCTCACCATCAATATGTGATGATGCTTTAGAGGAAGGTGAGAGCCTGCCATAAAAGTCTCCTTGACTTTCCCCTCACTCCCATGTTGTTCATCCAAAATGGTGCTGAAAAAAAACTCTTGCCTTTCCCATCACTCTGGTCATGTTCGCTCTCCTGGTCAAATCACATCACTGGCTCTCTTCACCTCCTGCACTGAGGTGTGAGCTCTGGCTATGGAATTTGCCCACAGGCAGAATTGTGCTCCTGGATCTAAACTTTATTTAAATAATTCAAACTGCTGTAACCCTTATAATTGCAAAGAAACCTAAAATATATGAACTCATATTTAAACTGTTGCTATGTCATCTTCCTGAGTTTGCAGACAGCCTGAAACAATAGCTCTTAGAGGTGTCTTCTTAATGTGGTGTTAATTCTCAAACCCAACTATGACACCATTTTAGCATAATCATCCAATGGGGTGTTTATCCCTGAATCCCAAACACTTCCAATGCTTTCTTAGTTACCAAAAGTCTCAACTGTCTCCTATCCATCTGCCAAAACTCTCCAGCTTCTCCCCTGACGACTTCTACAGACCTGGTAGTTTGCTGCTCAAATAAAAACTTTAGCACATTGAAAACTAAAAATGTGAGGTTGAGCAAAATCAAAACTGAGTGTAATATTGAACTGAATGACAGGAGAGCCATTTCTCACTTCCATATTTAATTACATAAAAAAACCTTCCAACTTCCCTGAAACGGCTGCAAGGTGTTCTGTCCATAACACCAGGTGGTGTGGAAAGCCAGGGAGATAGCTACAGAATGAATTGAGGGTTGCCAGAGTACATGAGGCCACTTGGCTAGATGGACCAGTGGAGTAAATGTCTGTTTCTTTACGTTAGTAGGTGGCTGCTCACCCTGCTGTGCAAATAGAATCCACATACTGTGCAAAGTTCAAACTTCCATCCCTTCCTGGGGCGTGGCTTTATTAACAAACAAATATGTAAGTGAAAACACAAAGAGCAGCTCACATCTCCTCAGGCATGGCTGCTCCTAGAGTGCCTCCCTGAGGACTGTTCAATCCACTCATAGGTCCTCAAGCACCTGGAAACCTCCCATTCTTCATTACCTACGGATGAAGTAATGAGTTACCTGCAAAGCCTGCTTAACCCTTTCCTAGAGGAATCATCCCTTACTAACAGGGTGCAGTATTTCAGGAAAACACTGCAGAGGCTGGAACTGCTATAGCTTGGAGTACCCTATACAGCTACAACTCTGCAGCCATTCTCCTATTGTGAGCTCCTTACAGAGATGCCTGCTGGCAGATGTTGCTCAGGGTACCTGTTAGCAACACGTGTCCCCCTCCCCATCCCCCAGTCTGCAAACGCTCCTGCATCATTCCCTAAAGTGAGTCCTGAGTGGAGTAGCTCATAATGGACTGTGGTTTACTTGAACCATGGACATCCCAGCAGCTGTGTCTGAATTGAAGATGTAGGAGACTCTGGCCTATAGACCCCAATGTGTGCAGTGCTTTGCCTTTGGAGGTTGTTGACATCCAGGACAGTTTTAAACATTATTCCATAGCTTTGACCTTTTTTCTTTTCTCTGCTGGTAAAAGTTTGGTTCCAGTGACTATTAAAGTGTAATTCTGACCCTTCTGTACTCATTAGTCTCTACAGACTATCTAGCCAGGATTCTCCTGCCACTTAGCAACGTGGGTAGGGCAGTGGTCATGAGGAAACCATGACACCGGTTGGCAAATTCCCTGAAAGTTGCAGCCCCCAGATCACAAACGCTTTCCTTACGTGGAAGTCCGTCTCCAAGGGAAGCTTCCACTGGCTGCCATGACAGTGTGAGGCAGTGGAAGGTAGTCTGGATATCACTGGGAAGACGGTGATGGGTGGATAGTCGCCAGGCCAATATTCACATTGCAGCATGGGAACCCCAAGATAAGAGTCGAGGAGGTGGGCAAAAGGGGGAGAGAACTGGAGCAGTGGGCAGTACAAACAGAGGTGGGTTTGGAGTGCTGGGAGAAGCAGGGTGCTGTGGCAGGCTCTGGTCCTGAGACTGTTCCAGCTCATGTTTCTCTCCTTGTTTATCAACACTGAGGCCCTTCTCTCTGCAGGAATTGGTTATGCTTCCCAGGTGATCGTCGTACTCCTGAATTTCTATTACATTATCGTCCTGGCCTGGGCCTTGTTTTACCTCTTCAGTTCGTTCACCATAGACCTTCCCTGGGGCAGCTGTGACCACGAATGGAACACGGGTAACCCTGAATTCCCCTCTATCTCATCTCCTCCTCCAACTCCCCATCAGTTTGCTGGGAAAAATCTGCCACCAGCAAATACCAGCTAACCTGAAAAAGCAACATCCAGCCTGCTGTGGGGGAGGGACCAAGGCCAGTGCGAGTGGCGAAGAGGCCTGGTTTATTGCCATATTACCTGACACAACATCAGTCCTGCTGATGGTAGAGGAGAAGAGGCTCAATTTCATTTGATAAGCTGGATCTCTTCTAGAAAATGTCCTAAAGTGCCAGCCGCCCACAGCTCCCATTGACTTTAGCCTTTCACTATACCTGATCAGAGCAGTAAACCAGTTGGTGTGTTATGCAGGCTCCCCCATGCTGCTCCAACAACAGATCTCAGTCCTGGAGGGGGCTCCCCTCTCCCGGCAGCTGTGCGGACGGAAGGGAAATTCAGTCTATATTCAGCCCTCTGCTTCTTTTGCTCTGCTTCAATAACAGGAGCCCATTCCTACTCGGGAGGCCCACCCCTCCCCGTGGAGGGAAAAGGGGAATTTAACCTTTATGATCATACAGTCCTTGGTTTCTCCCCAGCACTGCTTTGCCAATGGGACCCCAACCCTGCCCTGGAAGGACCTCTTGTTTTGAGCAAGAATAGGGATTTTAGAATATTTTTCTCCCTTTGAACATTATGCTGCTGGATGGAAAGGGGATCTGCAGCATTTCCAGAGGTGAAAGTGGGCCGGTATGGCATACCGGTAAGAAAGTGGACGCCGGCACACAGCCGACGTTAAAGTTTTGCTGCAGCACTTTAAGCACTGTACCCGCAGGGCCGCTGATGGGGGGACGGGGGGGAGAGGGGGACGCAAAAGGGGCAGCTGCCCCAGGGCCTGGCGATTTAAAAGGGCCCGGGGCTCCTGGCAGCGGCCGGAGCCCTGGGCCCTTTAAATCGCTGCCAGAGCCCTGGGTGGCGCAGGCTGTGCAGTGCTGAAGGGCTGGCTGGAGGAGTCTGGCCCCAGCCCCGCCCCTTCTGCCCAAGGCCCTGCCACTTCCAGGGGTCCAGAGCTGCCCTCCCCCACCTTGCCCAGGAGCCCGGCCACCCTGCGTACCAGTAAGTCCTTTAAGTTACTTTCATCCCTGAGCGTTTCCCAGAGGCTCTGCTATTCCAGTTGTATCTGTTTATGTTCTTTCTCCCTGGGCCTGTCCTGCAGAGAACTGCGTGGAATTCCAGAAGGCAAACGCCTCTCTAAATGTGACGACCGAAAACGCCACCTCCCCTGTCATCGAGTTCTGGGAGTAAGTGAAAGGCTTGTGTTTCTCTGACTCCTCTGGGAGTTACAATCCCCCAACCATGACTCTCAGCCCTTCCAGGCACTTCCTAGTTTATACACCTCAGGGTTTTCACAACACTTTAAACTGGACAGCACCCAGCAGAACAACATGGGTCAAATTCTGCTCTTGATTACTGTTCTGTTAATTTACAGTAACTTCACTGAGGTCAGTGGAGTTCCTTTGGATTCACACAGGTGTGCCTGAGAGGATACGCTGGCATCCTGTCTTATTTAGATCCTCCTTGTCTTTCCTGCACTCTGACCCAAATGTTGTCCCCCCACCTATGCAGTCTCACTGACTTCAGTGAGGGGTTCCACAGGGGTAAATGAGGTTAGAATTGGCTCTCTGCCAACAGACCTCGTCTTCACTGCTCTTTCTCCTGCCCTCGGTCCTCCTCATTCTCTGATCATTCTCTTCTCACATCCTCTACCTGTTTCTGTTCTCTTCTCTCTCTCCCTCTCTCTCCTTTTGGCTACAACACAACTGCTCTTTTCTCCCATATCCTCTTTCTCTTCAACCTGCTCATGGTCATTCTTTATACGATCGTATCCCTTCTCAGCGTAGCCCAACGGGTTCGCAGATTTTCAGTCTAAATCTGTTCTTGACACATCGGGTCAAGTTCATCCTGAGTATAAACTCCACTGACACAGTGGAGTTAAAGTAGGATATCAATGGAGTTGCACCAGGGATGAACTTGGCCCTTGTTTCGCTCCAGAGAGAAGCTGAACTGGTCTCGGAGTTACTCTATGGGTTATCTTTGTAATTTTATCCTGGGTTAGTATAATGTGGAAAACACTGGCAGTACATGGCTCTGTGGATGAGGGGAAAGCAGTGGACTTGCTATTTCTTAACTTTAGCAAAGCTTTTGATATGGTCTCCCACAGTATTCTTGCCAACAAGTTAGAGGTATGGGCTGGATGAATGGACTATAAGGTGGATAGAAAGCTGGCTAGTTTGTCGGGCTCAACGGGTAGTGATCAATGGCTCCATGTCTAATTGGCAGCCGGTATCAAGCAGAGTGCCCCAAGGGTCGGTCCTGTGGCTGGTTTTGTTCAATATCTTTATTAATGATATGGAGGATGGTGTGGACTGCACCCTCAGCAAGTTTGCAGATGACGCTAAACTGGGAGGAGTGGTAGGTGCGCTGGAGGCTAGGGATAGGATACAGAGGGACCTAGACAAATTAGAGGATTGGGCCAATAGAAATCTGATGAGGTTCAACAAGGACAAGTACAGAGTCCTGCACTTAGGATGGAAAAATCTAATGCACTGCTAAAGACTAGGGACCAAGTGGCTAGGCAGCAGTTCTGCAGAAAAGGACCTAGGGTTTACAGTGGACAAGAAGCTGGATATGAATCAAGAGTGTGCCCTTATTGCCAAGAAAGCTAATAGCATTTTGGGCTGTATAAGTAGGAGAATTGCCAGCAGATCGAGGGACATGATCATTCCCCTCTATTTGGCATTGGTGAGGCCTCATCTGGAGTATTGTCCAGTTTTGGGCCCCACACTACAAGAAGGATGTGGAAAAATTGGAAAGAGTCCAGCGGAGGGCAACAAAAATGATTAGGGGGCTGGAGCACATGACTTATGAGGAGAGACTGAGGGAACTGGGATTATTTAGTCTGCAGAAGAGAAGAATGAGGGGGGATTTGATAGCTGCTTTCAACTACCTGAAAGGGGGTTCCAAAGAGGATGGATCTAGACTGTTCTCAGTGGTGGCAGATGACAGAACAAGGAGTAATGGTCTCAAGTTGCGGTGGGGGAGGTTTAGGTTGGATGTTAGGAAAAACTTTTTCACTAGGAGGGTGGTGAAGCACTAGAATGGGTTACCTAGGGAGGTGGTGGAATCTCCTTCCTTAGAGGTTTTTAAGGTCAGGCTTGATAAAGCCCTGGCTGGGATAATTTAGTTGGGGATTAGGTCCTGCTTTGAGCAGGGGGTTGGACTAGATGACCTCCTAAGGTCCCTTCCAAACCTATGATTTTATGTTTCTACAGCTGGGAATGGGGTGAGACCGGTGGACATCCATAGAGTAGCAGCCACACCTCTCGTATCTTGCAAGGTTGGGCCTTCTCAGTATGTGAATTTGGGGGGCCCCTCAAGAAACACTAGTGCTGCAGGACTCAGTGCTGGTGACTCAGCAGGTGGGACTCTCCCTTGGCAGCAGTACTCAGCCCAGCATGTTGACCATGGGCTGGAGGATGGGGACGTTTGTATAAGATGTAAAAACAACGGCTTGTGATCACTGAAGATTCCACAGCCCCTGGTGGGAGGAGGGGCATTGCTAAGCACAGTGTCTCGGCTTCATTTCAGTCCGAGTAAACTCCCTTCGGCGACCCTAAATCCTCCTTGAAGATGTAAACAGCTGCAGTGTTCCTCCCTGCGTGTCCCAAACTGTTGTGCAGAGCTGCTGTGCCCTGTTGAGCAGCAACCTGTGGCAGCTTCAGTTGAGCACAGGGATGTGATTCTGACCACTATAATCCACATTGGAATGCGGGGGGTTCCTTCCGGGAGGGAAGGAGCTGGGTCAATGTGTTGTTAATAAGCAAACAGTTAGTTCTGGCCGTAGTCAGCTTCTCTCTTCTCTCATGCTGCCTTTCACTAACTCTCCTTGTTTATCCCCCCTCTTCTGTCTCCCATGGCTTCTCTCGGACTGTCACGTGTACAGCGTGAGCTGCAGGGCTGGCATTTCTTGGCCTGCTCTGCCCGTGCCTGGCAGCTAAGAGACTGAGGTTAAAATCAATGTTTTGAACAGTTCTGTAGTATTGGGACAACAGCACATGGGAGTGGAAATTTCCATGGTTCCAGCTTCTCGGTCACAGCCTCTGATACAGGGGAGAAGCAGGCTCTGCTCTCAGTCGCTGGGAAATGGAGGGTAGGGGCCGGGGAAGAGGGTAGATGTTTGCTTGAAAGATGCAAATCTGCATTGTATTGTGTACCCTTCTGGGTCTCCCTTGAGCTGCACTTGGTGCCCCCTTCGTCTATAGCCCCATGCTCTGTTACCATTACGCTCTTGTACCCTGCCAGGGTCCTTTCATGCTGTATGCCCTTGTGCCGTTCACTGCTGCATGCACGCAGGAGGCCTCCATTTAGCTGGCACTAGGAAAATAAGTGAGATGGGGAAATGCCAGAAAGCGAAGGGGGATTTCCCTTGGGCTCTGAGAGATCCTGCCTTTGTGCGGGACTGTTGATGGGGAGAGCAGGCATTTTCTTGGTCCCTGGCTGACGGGGCTGTGGAGCAGGAAAGGGTGCAAGTGCATCACCCATCTTGGATTGTTGGCATTCCAGGAGGTGCATCTTTTAGTTTTTGGATGATGCAGCAGGAGAGGGCACATGTGCAGCTCAAGGGAGCTGCAACTCCCTCTAGCACTGCCTCTAATTGCTGATGCTCTAGGGTGTTACTTGGCCGAACCTTTGTGGGCTGGGACTGCAGAACAGATGAGGAGTTTGTCTTCTGATCTCTGGGTGTGCAGACGACATTGTGGGAGAGGCCAGCAACTTCCATTCTCCAGCAGCTGGGGCAGCACAGCTGGGAAAGAGTAGCAGAAGCTGCAGCGTGGGAAGCTGCTATGTAGTTAGCGTCCTCAGTGATCTCCATTATTCTCTTGCGTTGTCATGTGGTCTTCTACAGTCCTGGGCATGGCACGTGCTGCCTTGCAGTTTTGGCTCCTAAAGGGGAATATCTTTATACTGTGTGATCCCAATCCTTTGTCATCCTACCTAACGGAGTTGGAAGGAATTAGGTGAGGGTGGTCCTCATGTAGGATTCCTTGTGATCTATGTCAGAACACCAGCTGGTTTAAAGCACTTCCGAGGGGTAGGGAAATCTTATTATTTGTAATGCAGTATGCAGCAGCTGTGATCAGAGGCCATGTTGTGTTAGGTGCTGTACATTCATGTAGTAAGAGATTTCCTGACCCAAAGACCCTGCAATCTAAATAGACAAGACAAAGGGAGGGAGAGGGAACGGAGGTGAAGTGTCCTGCCCAAGCAGGTCAGTGACAGAGCTGGGAATGGAGCCCAGGTCTCCTGCCCCCTAGGCTGGGACCCTGCCCACTGGGCCTTTTATTTCTGAGAGGGAAACAGTTGAGGAATGTCCTTTGCGCTTTCCTGAGGTGCACAGTTCAGGGTTAGGGCTTGATCTCCCTAAACTGCAAAGCATCACCAGGGGCCCTTGAGGACTGGCTGGTCATTGAGGATCTAACGGCTGAACTTAGCAAGACTCAGTCTGTTTGCCTTCCCAGGAGGAGAGTGTTGAAGATTTCCGCTGGCATACAGCACTTGGGGAGCCTGCGCTGGGAGCTGGCTCTTTGCCTCCTGCTCGCCTGGGTCATCTGCTACTTCTGCATCTGGAAAGGAGTCAAGTCCACAGGCAAGGTGAGTGCCTGTTCAGGTCTGGCCTCCGCCTTCATTGCAGTCCAAGGTGCTGCAGCTCCTGAGCTGAAACCCAGCTCTCCCAGACCCAATGAGAACTTGCAACTCCCTCTAGCACTGGGCAAGCCCAGCAGGGTTCAGCTCCCAAAGGGGTTTGTGAACTGGAATCTGCAGGGGATGGAAGCAGATGGGTTTCTATGAATTTGAACCTCCAAGAAGAACACTTGTCTTTGGACCCCTCCCCCAAAAAGGACTCCCTTTACCACCTCATCACTCCAGAAAACACTGGGACCCATTCTTATAATAAATGTCTGCAGGGGAGGCCCAGTGCTCTCCTGCCACGTTCCCACTCCTTCAGGCCAGGTCCTCAAGGAGCTGCCACCTTCCCTCCATTGGGGTCTTCAGGAGAGGCTACCTGGCATGGGCTGGTGATTCTCCCACGTCCTTAAAGGATCTTTTTTATTTGGGGGCGTGTGTGATGTGCCAGCCGCCCATCCCCCACTTATACAGAAAGATTAGGGAGAACATTCCCTCTCCAGCTGGCAGCTGGGGTTCAGAGTAGCCTCCAAATCTTTCAGGTGATAGCTAAGGAAACCCTGAAGGACCAAAGGGCCCCCTCTGCCTCAGGACCAAAGGAATTTTCCATCTCCTGCCCTTGGCCCCAAAGAGAACCGTATCCTAGCACAAATTATAGAACTGGGGGATTGCCAGTGAATTTACTCCTGGGCTAACACAGCCCCAGCTTATTCCTTTCCATTCCTGCTTGCTCACCCATGTCCTGATTGAATTATTTGTGTGTTATTTGCCAATCTGAGACATCTAAGAATGTCCAAGGTGTTTGACTTTTTGCATGACATTTTGATTACAAAAAACCTAGAACGATATAAAATTAACATGCAGTGTAGTTGTAGCCGTGTCAGTCCCAGGATATTGGAGAGACAAGGTGAATGAGGTAATATCTTTTATTGGACCAACTTCTGTTAGTGAGAGAGACAAATTTTCAAGCCATACAGAGTAGTTCTTCTTTTTCTTCTCCTCGCTCGGTCTGGCTATAAGCTTGTCTCGCTCAACAACAGAGGTTGGTTCAATAAAAGATATTACCTCACCCATCTTGTTTATATAAAATTAACATGGCACAAATTCAGTGGATTAAAAGCTGGCCAGCTGATGAGTCTCAAAATGTAATTGTAAATGGGAAATCATCGTTGAGTGGGTGTGTTTCTAGTGGTGTCCTGCAGGAGTCAGTTCTGAGCCCTCTGTTATTTAACGTATATATCAATGAACTGGAAAAAAACATAAAATCATGACTGATGAAGTTTACAGATGACACATGGCATGGTAAATGAAGAGGACAGGTCATGGATACAGAATCATCTGGATTGCTTGGTAAACTAGGCACAAGCAAACAATGTGATTTAATATGTCTAAATTTAAATGTATACAATGGAACACGGACTGTAGGCTGTATTTCCAGGCTGGGAACTCTATCCTGGGAAGCAGAGACTCTGAAAAAGATTTTGGGGTTGTGGTGGGTAATCAGCTGAACGTGAGCTACCAGTGCAATGCTGTGGCCAAAAGGGCTAATGCGATCCTTGGATGTATAACAGGGGAATCATGAGTAGGGGCAGAAAGGTTATTTTACCTCTGTATTTGGCACTGGTGTGGCCATTGTTGTAATACTGTATCCAGCTCTGGTGTCCACAATTCAATAAAGATGTTAATAAATTGGAGAGGATACAGAGAAGAGCCACAAGACTAATTAGAGGATTAGAAAACATGCCTTATAGTGATAGACTCCAAGAACTCAGTCTATTTAGCTTAACAAAGAGAAGATTAAGGGTTATCTTGATTAGTCTATCTAGATATGTACATATCTGGGGAACAGAAATTTAATAATGGGCCCCACAGTTTAGCAGAGAAGGACATAATATGATGTAATGGTTGGAAGCTGAAACTAGACTAAATTTAGACTGGAATTAAGGGGTCAATATTTAATAAGGAGGGTAATCCGTCATTGGAACAATTTACCAAGGGTCGTGATGGAGTCTCTAGCACCGATAATTTTAAAATCAAGGCTGGATGTTTTTGTAAAAGATCTGCTCTAGGGATTATTTTGGGGCAGTTCTATGGCCAGTGTTATATGTGAGGTCAGACTAGTTGATCACAGTGGTCCCTTCTGGCCTTGGACTCTATGAACCTAAGTGTTGTATCTCAGTGCTTTGAAGTGTGGAGTGCCCTGGTCTGCAGTGCCTGCAAATAACTTGGTTTGGGAAGTGGACAGGCAGATGAACTAACATGACCAGGGCCCAGCAAAGAGGCAGCCATACCCCAGGGTCCTTTAACAAAGGTTGGGGGTGAGGAGGGAGAGGGAGGAGGCAGGTGTTGCAAGGAGATGTTGCCTACCTGACAGGAGATGGGGCTTAATTCACTCATGTTTGTAAAGCGACTTATCTTCAAATAAAAGGCACAGTAGAAGTGCAAATTCTAATAAATGCAATAATGGGCAGTGGATGGAGGGAGACTGGTATTTACAGGGAAAGAGAGAATAACTCCTCTGCTCCATGATAAGCACCCCGACCTAATCTGCTCAGCTACCAAGCCCTCCCTCACTCTTGGTGACAAGACCAATACTCTCCTGCATGCACCCCTTTCCCCCCATGACAATAAAGGTGTCTCGGTTAATCGTCCTGCTCACCTTAGCTGTACTTCCTTGGTTGCTTGCATTCTCTCGTACTCATTCTCTTCTGGAACAGAGCTGTGTAACTCTGGCCTGACTCCATCCCATCCCTGCTTCCTTGATCTTTGTTAATGCAAATGACAGTAGCATGTTCTGTAAGATCATTAGTTAGTTTCTGCTCCCCCTCTTGAACCATTCCCAGTTGGCTTTATGCTTGGAGTCAGCAAGCACAGAGGGACATAAAAATGTTTTAATAACAAAGGGTGTCCTCTTCATGCACTTTAAACAAAACAGAACCATGACGTGGTGGTAGACCTGACCGAATCCACTTGCCATGAGCGATAGCATGGATGTCAGTGGCTTTCCTGAGTTCACTATGGCCTCAGAAGCTGGCAAACCTCTTAAGAATTTGTAGGAGTAGGAGGGGTGGAGTAAGGGAAATCAGCTTGTGAAGACGATCCTCTCTGGTTCCTATGGAGCAAAATATGAAGAAGAAAAAGGCAGTTACTGCTGTGGCCTGGTGAAAGAAGGCAGAGGCGTCTATAACACATGACTCCCAGCAGGCATGATGGTAAGGCACTGCAAACTAATTTACAAAGCATATGCTATGCAAAAAGCAAACCCAGTTGATGCTAGATACATATTCCATGCAAAAACACCAAAGGATCTTAACAAAAAAGAATGGTGAGAGTAATTTCTTTGGCACAGACCCCATGGTCAGAGAGAGACTTCTCAATGAAGGAGCTCAGCTTTCCCTAGAAACAGACATAGATGCAGCTAGGGTGATCAATGTACAGAAACCCAGCATGAAACAATGGCTGCTGGAATGCAAGCCTATCCGAGGGGAAAGGTTTTGCCAGTATTGGGGAGTTACCTGTTGCCAAAAGAAAGGGACAAAGAGTGACCTGAAATCACCTCCCTACCACTAACAGCAGCAGGAGTGACCTCATGCATCCCAAGGCACAGAAAACTGTGCATGGATATCCAGGAAGACACATGAGTACGGGCATTTTCCTGGAGAAGATTGTCACAGATGGAATCACTTTGCAGAAGCACGTGGCTCTGACTCAACATGACCATGTATGTTATTGACCAGCGTGTGACAGAGCAATGTTTCTGATCCCAGCAAGGTTTCTAGCGATATGGTTAGTGCTAACAATGCTCAAGAAATAAAAAGATCGTGCCTGAGCCAAGCATCGAGTAATACCTCATTAGACCCAGATGTTCACATTGCTGGATACATTCTTAAACCGGAGAAAACATTCTCCAAATTGAGACTGCCAGTTTCACAGCAGTCACTCGCAAGCATCAAATGAAAAGCTTAAAAGAGCGAGCCCATGCCAGCTACAAAGCAGATATACAGCTACCACAATGAAGCTTGAATCATCTGTTGTGGGCACTTGGGCAGCACCAATTTATGGGCCTGGAATCATGTTTGGATCTTGAACTTATAAAACTGGTGCAATCTCTAGATCCAAATGGGAATGCAAAGCCTGATATTCCCACAGAAAGCTTCAAAGCAGATGGGCTATTACCATCAAACATTTCCTTTTATCTTACCCCAATTCTCAGCCCACTCATCTGTGGGCCAGGAAAGACCTGACCTGCATACTCTGATCACCTGAATCAGGTAGTAGATCACATAGTAAATATAGGGATAATCATTAAAATGACAACCTGCAGACTGGACTTACTTGCTAGGTATTGTACAGAAGCCCTCAACAGGCAAATTTGGAGCCTGCGTCAATCCTTGAGGCAAAACCTTTACCAATATTTGAAGACATTACCTCTAAGCTTCCTCAGTGTCCTGGATGCAAGGTCAGAGTGTCAGTCAAGTAAACGCCTTGAACAGTCAATCCAAAAGACCACAAATTTTGTGGATGTGGATTCCGTCACCTACCTTTTTGGCACAATCTGAGCCAGAGATAAAATACAGTGCAAGGCTGATGAGATATGTGAAGGATTCATTGGAGTTGTAGCCATCATCAATGACATTCTAGTATTTCCTTATTCAAAGGGAGGACATCATGCAAACCTTTCTCCCCTTCCCTACTTCAGAGCTGACCAAAGGTGCTGGAACAATTTTTATAGTGAGATGCTGATGACCGAAACCATGTATTTGGGTTGTTGTTACTACTTCAAGCCAGGGGGTGCAGCAGCCCCAGCACCCCTAGTTCCAGCACCACTGGAGGTGATCGAGAAAAAGATGCGCACCTGACCTAGGAAAAAGCATGATTTGCATTCCAGCAGAAGCTGGGTTGGAGATTGCTTTATGGCAGATAGAATGAATCCAGATCCAGCAAACATCACTGTGGTAGAGGACATGGAACTACCACCTAATCCGGCAGAAGAGGGGGCAATTCTTGTATAAGAAATATGGCAGAATATAAAGAACATAGTTCTATTGTGCGCTATTTGGGGCAGGGAATCCTCTTCATTTTGTGTGTGTAGAATGCCTAGGATGATGGGGACCCAGTCCCTGATGGGAGCCTCTAAGCACCACTGCAATACCAATGATTGATGATCCTAATAAAAGAAATGGATCCAGTGGGTTTCCTACTTTGATCATAACAAAACTATCAGCAGACAGGTCTAGGAAGGGAATTGGTGCAGCACTGCTCTAGGAAGGCTAGCAACTACGTTGTATATCAAAGTCCTTCATGCCACCAGAAGAACAGCATGCACAAATGGGAAAATGTATATACATGCATGCATATATGTAGTTGTATTTGAGTACAATCCCTTTTGTCAGCATATGTAAGCATATGTTACAGTTGAATCTGACCATTAACTGCTTGGATCAGTCCAGAAGAAACCATTCATCACATTACCACCCAGTCAGGGACAGTCAGGGTCTTCAGTTGCAGAGGGATAATAGCCAAATTGTGTATTCCCCAGGAAAATACACCCCCGCCCCCCTGGTACTTGGATCAAGTACTTGGGTCACTGGTACTTGGGTCAAGACAAATGTTGGAGTTACTATGCAGGTGCATAGAATCTTCCAGCATACAGGCGAAGATTAGAGGTAACCAATGGAAGGATGAACAAATGAAACAAGTAATATTGGATGGATGGGGAGAAATTAGAAAGAAAATGATTTCACATCATCATGCAATACTGGCACCATATAGATGAACTTTCACTCTCGTGTGGCATAACCTTTTAAAGGTGAAAAAACAGTTATCCTATTGCATTCAGACTAAATATTCGGAGATAAACCTCACTAGGCACATGGCCATGGAAAAATCCAAACAGAGACTTTGACGTATTCTTTTGGCCTAGTACGTGTTAACCATCTTGTCTTAAGATGTCTGATATGCCTTAAAAAGTATATAGTAAATGCAAGCGCATCAGTGATTCTGCATGAAATGCCAACAAAACCATGTCAACCCATGGGCACTGATTTGTTTATGTTGAACAATGAAGACTACAGTATGTCATTGTTGTGGATTACTATAGCAATTAGTTTGAACAATCCCCAAAGTACCACAATAACCCAAGTTATATTTGCAAGACCTAGAATCCCAGAAAGGATTAGCACGGACATTGGACTTCAGTATTCCTCAAAGGAATGCAACTACTTTGCCAAAGTAAGGGCTTTCAAACATATCTAAGTCCATCTTATTCATAAGGCAAGTAGGCTAAGTAGTAGAACACATGATGCATAAAGACCCCTATTTTGGACTACCTGAGTATTAGAACACTCCTTGCAACAGCTCTAAGTCACTTGGTCCTGATGTTGATGGGATGTCTGTGTCAGCATTGCTCTTTATGTAGGAACAGCTGAAACATGAAGCAGTGAGTCTCAGCCAAGTGCCAGCTGCTAGTTCCAGTGCTCAATGCTGATGCTGCAGTACAAGGGAGACAGGATGGTGGCCACTGGAAACCCCTTGCTCTGAAACTGGCAAATATTGAAAAACCCTATCAGGTTCACACCCTGAATGCACGTGAATGTTAAGACAACCATTGTTTGCTTCAGATACCAGAAAACCATCACATTCTCTGAACTTGTTGACTGTATCTCTGAACTTGTTGACTGGCTCTAACATCAGTATGGAACTCAGCAGTCCAGAAGCTGATATAGACACACCCATCATTTCCACATACTGTTTCTCCACCTGTAATCACAACTGGTGAACTACTGTAAGTACTGGCAGGAACAATAGCACCCTTTGGAATGGCACAAGTGCCCCTACCTATGAACCCATTTGTTACCAGGTCTGTCTGACCGGCAGAGCTGAGGGAAAGTTTAGACTCGCAAGGTTTTTGATGTGACATCACAGTTTAAATGGGTTTCTGTCTTACAACACCCAGGCACCCAGTGCATGTCTGTATTACTTCAATAAAGAGTTGAAATGGCTATTTGCTGCTAGGTTACATTCACCTCAAACAATAAGACTAATTTTATTACTACTGACGATTCCTTGATGATATCCCAAGGACTGTCTCATCATGAAGGGAGATGTACCAGGACAAGCTGCTGTTATTTGCATCCATCTTGTTAGTTTTAGATTATGCTCTCTTGGCCTACTCCATACCAAGAGACTTGCTTGGTATGACTCCTTCCTTCGCTTTCCTGTCAGAATGAGCAGATGGAAATAAGGGCCCAGATTCTCAGCTGGTGTAGATCGATGGAACTACATTGAATTCAATGGAGCTACCCTGACTTACACCAGCTAAGACCAAGCCTGGTGCTTAGATCACTACCAAGATCGGCGGGCAGCGACCCATCCAGCGTGGTGAAGACACCACGGTAAGTCGATCTAAGGACGTCAACTTCAGCTACATTATTCACGTAGCTGAAGTTGCGTAACTTGGATCGATTTCTCTCCCCCCCCCCCCCCGGGGGAGACCAGGGCCAAGCCTAAAGAGGGATTATCTAGTTGTAGATATAATGGCCACACTGTGACTTTTCTAACCACTCAGTAAAAGTGAATTGCTTTCTACTCTGCTTTAAAGACTACCTGAAACATAGTAATCCTGCCTCTTCCCTGCCTCCATCTTGCTGATCCTGTCTCATCCTGGCCTTTCTAACTTGCTCTTGCACTGCACTTGCTCCCTTTGTGGCAAGATTTCATTGGTGTCGTAGGTTTCTGGCCATTTCCCCAGGCTGCCCTCTCACATTTGCTTTGTTGTGTTCTCCTGCCAGGTGGTGTATTTCACTGCCACGTTCCCGTACCTCATGCTGGTAGTTCTGCTGATCAGGGGAATCTCTCTGCCGGGGGCGATGCAGGGCATCCTGTTCTACCTTTACCCAGACCTCACTCGTCTCATGGACCCTCAGGTAAGATGGAAGGAGGACTGATTGGCTGAGCTCTGCTTGGGTGTGTGCATGTGTTTGTAATTCTCTCTCTTTCTCTTCCATCCAATTCTCTTCTTTGCCCCCATTCCCCCTTTTAATTTTCCCCCTGTTCTTTCTCCTTCTCTCTCCCCACTCCATCTCTTACTCTTTGCCTTTTCCTTTTCATTCACTCTTCTTCTGTCTCCTTTTCCTCTTCCACCCTGTGAACATAATGCACGTTGACATTCACAAGCATTCAGCTGACGCCATCAAGGTCCCCCAACTAAGCTAGCTTCACTGTTCAGTTTTCACCAGCAGAGTTCCTAAAATCCCAAAGCCCTTTCTCTCCATGATGTTTCTTGGCTGATGCTATTGGTAAATGATGTAGGCTTCAGACACTACTGATGGGGCCACTAAACTTCTTAGCTGCTTGGTGACACCAGTCAATCAACTCTGTCTTCTGGAGACACTCATTGTAAAACTCCTCTCCTCTCCTGAGCCAGATCGAGGGGGAATGGAGGCCCCAGAGCCACAAAGATTTAGGAACCTTTATTTTTTGATGGAATGCTGTGATATTTAATATAATTGGAGGCAAAGCGGGGGCCATCAGCCCTTCCTACCCCATCTTAGAGTATGGGAGGAAGGTACTTCTGAATGCTGCTGTAGTGTCAATCCACTAAACACCTTGCTCCCCATCTCCCTTGTTTTCCTCTCTCCCCTTTCCCTTGATTAGAAATTCCTGCCAGTTTGACTGAAGGTTCAGTGCCCGACTGCCGTTTTTAATCTCTTCAGGACAAGTTCCTCCACGTTAAATCCTGGCTCCAGCTGAGCTGCTGTACCAGCCTTTGTGCGAAGGTGTCTCCAAAGGAGATTAAAGGGTGCCTGCCTGGAAAATAGGTCAGCGAAACCCTTCGTAACCCCTTTAACTCTTTCCGCTCCAGGCCAAGCATTTTTTATTTTGAGTACAGATGCGTGAATGCACAGTATGCGGTGAGGGGGATGACTGGGGAGACCATGCTGTAGCAAGCTCCTGATGCACCGCTCTGTGCACGGAGAATGGGTTTCTTTGGATGTGAGGCGGCATTCTCTAGTGCTTCCAGTTGGGGAGTCAGAGTCGGGACCTCCTGGGTTCTGTGCTTGGTTCTGCCATTGATTCTCTATGACCTTGAGCAGGTCATTTAGGCCAACGTTTTCAAATCTGGGTGCATAAATGTGGAATCACAGAGTTAAGTAAAAGCTGGCCTGATTTTCTGAGTCAGCGGACACACTTAAATCCTGCGCAAATCAGTGACAGCCAGAGCTCTGCACCTCTGAACATCAGGCCACTTTTAACTATGGGCCTAAACAATGATTTAGAAGCCTAATGTCAGGCACCCATGTGTGAAAATGGAGGCCTTTCGCTCTCTGTTTATGCATCAGTTAAATGGAGGTGACAGTGACCTCCCTTGTGGTAAGGATGTTACAAGACTTAGGCTCTTTTGAACTCCCTCCCCCAAGTGACTTAGGCCAGGTCCACACTAGAAACTTGTGCCAGCATAGTAATGTCAGCTAGGGGGTGACTTTTTTTGACACTTTTACCCTGGCAAAAGCCAGAGTGTAGGCCCAGTTACCCTGGCAGAAAAGTTCTTTTGCTTAGGGAACTGGTATAAGCTATACCAGGAAATGCTGGTTTTTTGGCTGGAATAAGCTGCATCTACATTATAGCTATACTGGCCAACTCTTTCTGGTGTGTACTAGAAGCACAACTGCCAGTGAAAGTCAGTGACTCCCAACTCATTTACATACATTTATTAATTGCACTGTTAATATTAATAAAGCACTTTGATGTTCCCTGCTGGAAAGTACTATGGAAATCCATGTATGGGAAAGTCCTGTAGAACTTACTAGGGATGAAATTCAGCAGGTGGAGAGGTTGTTTCCATCCATATGTCGGATTTGGGAAGCTCCTCATTTCATGCCTGATGCTTCTCCTATATGAAAAATGTCCTATAGAATTCAACAGAAAATGATCACCTTTCTATAGTGGTTTTAATCATCCTGTAGGATTTAACAGCAAGGCTGTAAGTTTCAATTAACTTCTATAAGACTTTCACATGAGCGCTCTACTCTGCGCTGGTTAGGCCTCAACTGGAGTATTTTGCCCAGTTCTGGGCACCGCATTTCAA